TGTACAAGATATCTCATTGGGACTTACTAATTTGTGTTTACTTACATGGACTCAATCAAGGATATGTATTGTGTGACTGTTGAAAAGTGCAACCAGGTATGTTTAATCAAAGCCAGTATATTAATGCCAAAATGTGTCTTTCCAAAATTCAGTTTTGTATGTGTGCAATATACTCCAAATTACATCTTTAGTCAAGCTAGATCTTTGAAGTTATTGTGTAGGGAATCTTTTAAATGTCTCCAGGCCACGCCAGACATATAGTTGCAGCTAGGGCCCAGACAAACCTAAGCTGTAGGGTTATCGAGTCACACCTCTAAGCTCGACTCGTAATTTCAAAAATCTAAACGACAAAATTTGTCATTTGTTACAAGTAATTAATGTGCACAGTTTGGTACAAAATTAAAATGTATTGTCTAGGACTTTGAATTCAGATTAGGGATATTCTTGAGTCAGCCACCCCCACACATATGTTTATTGCATGTCAGTATTAAGTAATTAACAGCACAGCAGTATTCAGCATTTCAGAGTTTTGATGTCGGAATTAAGGATTTTTTTCTTGGGCATCGCACCCACAATATCTGGGCAAGCTCCGTCAAAGACACGGGAAGAGCACCCATTGTACTTAAAAGGGCAATAGTACCCACAAGTACCGTTTGAGTCACGCGGTAAAGCTAGACTCCTGGTTTCAAATTTCTTTATGCGAAATATTTGCTGAGATGTTTAATTTGTACGTTTTATGACATTACTCATTATCATTATTTGGTACTGAGTCGCACCGCCAAGCCAGACTCCTGAATTCAAAGAACCTTCAGTGATATATTTATTGAATCTGTGCAAAGCAGTAATTACCTTGTAGTGAAATTGCACATTATAAAGATCACTTGGTTAGTTTTCAAACTGACACTAATTCAAATTGGCTAGATGATCACTTTCATACCGTCATTGCATAGATATATTTGTTGCATAAGGATTTCATATAACTGATTTTGATCACATTTGCATGGTTGTTTTCCTTGGTGAAAAAGTTCACACATATCAATTTGGACTCATGTAAGCTTGGGGTCCAAGCTTCACGTGACGGAGGGAAGTTGTTATGGTGACTGATTTACGACACCCATTGTCTAAAGAACAGTTAATTGCAAAGGCTCATTACCCTGGAGCCATGACATCTATATGCCTTGAAACATTTAATTGCTGTTATTTATTAGATGCTAATCCTATTTGTTAATCCCCATTTTTGTGTACATCGACCGTCTGCCATCCTGAACAGGATGTGCAAGTATGTCACTGATGATTTACTGTTTACATTTATATTTATTACTTACTAAATGTCAGGTGACCTTGGCTATATAAGCCTTGGTCCAGAGAGAAAAAAGAGGAGAGAAGGGGTTTGACTCTCTTACCAAGCAGACCTCTCTCCCACAGCCCAGAGTGTGTACCGACTCTCTGTGGCACCCTCAGTTATTATCTAAGTATATTGTAAATTGTTAATTGTTCTTGTAAATAAAATTGTGATTAGTCTCCTGTGACTCTGGCTCTTTGCTGACTAATTCCCCAAGAAAACCAGCACGTCATTTGGAAGGTATTGTTCACCCAGAACAGTTCCATGATACATATACAAACATGTACTATCAACACAAGACTTGTAGTGCACATGTACGCAAGCACTGGCACTACTTACTGTCATCCAAATGAAAATCCAATTCTTCAGAAAAAATGTGTTCTGTCTAATCGCTGTAGATGAGATTTCTCTTGAAAACATGATGTCACCATTAGATGATTTCACTCATAGTGGTATGTGGGGCAGCCAATTGTCTGAATCCCTCGCCCGTTAGCCTGAACAACTTGGTTCCATTATTTGTAATATGGGTATACAGCGGTAGAAAGTAACAGTTTTAGTGATATAACTTATAATGATAACATATAGAAAAAACCTTAAAAATGGAAAATTTCTACTAGTCCTTATGATACCTTAACTATTGGGCAGTTTGGCAAGGACCACGGGACTAGTGCCAATTTGTAACGCTGGGTTTATCAGAAAAGTTGGCAATTTCAACTCCTACTAAAATGCACTGAAAGGCAAAGGAAAGAAGCCACCAATTTCGAGGACAAATAAAGTAAAAATTTCATTCGGTAAATATTAAACCTGTTTAATTCATAGACAAAACAGGTTCTTACAGGATCACAATAACTAATTTTGTCTCACAAGCCACAATCTGTCACTGTTTCATTGAAGGTGATGAAAGATGGCAGGGTCTTGAACAGAAGTTCAACAAAAACAACCAAGTAGAAGTTTTAAGCTCAACAATGTCATCTTCTCCAAAATCAGACTTCGTTCCTGTTCTGGCGTTATAGTCTCCGCCACAAATAACAATAGCATCTCTTAATTCTGATAAAATGTCCCACAAACTGTTTGGAAATATTATGATGCCATTTTTACAATCAACAGATAAAATGTTATAACAGCTAGATCCCTCAAGATGGATATAAACACATGCATATGATACGTCAGATTGACGGCAGCGCAAGGAATTATCTATATATATATATATATATATATATACACACACACACACACACACACACACACACACACATACAATTTTCCGTTATTTTACATCGTTTAATATATTTTGTAGTTGCTTCTTTACAAGTACTGTTATCACACCTGAAAGTCTGCCTGTCTTAGACAGCCTATCAGCATCTTTAATATAAAGGGTAAAGTCTGTGAAAGTGACCTTCACATCCTCTACATTCTCCAACCAAGTTTCGGTTACACCAATTATATCAAATTTGTTCACATATTTGACAACGTCATTATCTGTTAACACATATATTATGCCTGAGACTTTCCAGAAGAGAAAGCTAGTGAAGCTATTATTACTGTCGCTTCTCTCACTTGATGGGTTCTCTTGATGAGCAGTAAAATCAGCGTATAGGCCCTGGCCACATCCCTTTCTCTGTCTCCCTACTGCTGACCTCTGTGACCTCGAGCGCGTATCCTGTCTCTCATCCTGTTGTCTTTCCTCTCTCTCACCCTCTGTGCCTCCAGATATGCTTTCCTGTGCAGCTTGGGGGCACGGGTGGCCCAGTCGTCTAAGGTGCCGCGATTCGCTGTGCAGAGTTGCGTCCCTCGGACACGCCAGAAACCTATTATCGTAGGTTCGAATCCCGGTTCACCCCGATTATGTTTCTAGGTTTGTCAGCACCATACCCTGTGCTCGTGGGTTTCACCGAAGTGGTAAACGTCTTAGACCTGCATCACTTCGGGCTTTCCTCCCACATTAAGCTGACACGCCGTGATATAACTGGAATAATGGTAAAAACGGTGTTAAACCCAACTCACTCACTCACTCCTGTACATCTTCATCTTTTCTAGTATCTCTCCTCTCTTTGGCTTCCCTCACTAATTTCCCTTCTTTGTAGTAGAACCGTGTGTCTGGTTCGTCTTTTCTGCATTTTAGTAATTCCTGTCTCTGATTCAAAGTCAAGTCATTAGAGATGCCATATCCTTTATCTTTAAGGACGATCCACATTGACACAGCTTGCATTTTGTCGTCCCACTGCAGCATCTTCACGATAAGGTTTATTAGGCTTCTTCGTCGGCATACGATGTGCACGTTTCTACATCCCTGGAATTGAGCGGGGGAATTTCTTCTCTATCTTCAGTACTTCCAGAACTTTCTCCTTACACACCATATATGATTCATGTTGTAATTCAGGCACTCCATATAATATTACTTTATTTTTCCTGTTTCTGCGTTCTTGGATTCATAGTAGATGTATTATAAATTCACAAAGTTTTGAGGGAATTGTTCGATAAGCATAACTTAAAAGTTGGGTGGGCCCAGTCGCCTAAGGCGCCACGATTCGCTGTGCAGAGTTTCGTCCCTTTGGCACGCCAGAAACCTATGATTGTGGGTTCGAATCCCGGTTCGCCCCGATTATGTTTCTAGCTTTGTCAGCACCATACCTGTGCTCGTGGGTTTCACCAAAGTGGTAAACGCCTGAGACCTGCATCACTTCGGGCCTTCCTCCCACGTTAAGCTGACATGCCGCGATATAACTTGAATACTGTTAAAAGCTGCGTTGAACCCAACTCACACTCACTCACTCACTTAGAAGTTGACGGATGACAATGTACACACAATTTATGGATAACAACTTCTTTATTTTACTGTAACATCGACGTTTCGGTATAGATCCTTATACAGTTGTCAAGCAAGGCTGAATAATGAAAATGGTACAAAATATATATAGAAGGTGGAGGATTAACAGTAACAAACAATTGCATACATGAAAGAGATAAACATGAGTAAGTTAAATAATACACATGATAAGGAAGCCATTTAAACAGGATAAGGATACATAGGAGGGGTCGTTATTGTTTAATGAGTTCACAGTAGGCTGATAGGATGCAATGGCCTTGATCTCTGTTGATTGATGGTTGTGGCGGCGAATGTGGACTGCTTCTCTTTGTTTGCTTTTTGTGAAGTCCTTGGACTTGTTGTTGGAGAGGATTTGGGCGGTTCATGTTGTGATTAGGGCAGTTGCTGATATGGTCCGAATGGCTGATTTACTGTCAGATTTGATGGTTGAAGTTTTGTGCTCTTTGATTCTGGTGTTGATGGGGCGGGATGTTTCACCTACATAGGATTGCCCTATATCATCAGCCTTCAACCCCAATATTGACCCCGACTTCGCCAGATCAACCCCCCTCAATTCTCTAAGAAGGGACAACGGCAGAAACACAACTAAACGCCAAGAACCTAAAGGTGTAGTTCATAAAATTGAATGTAACTGGACAGTCCTATATAGGGAAAACATCCCGCCCTATAACTGTTTGCATTCATCTAGCACCCCCACATTTCTAAAAAGAAAACACGAAAAAAAGATTCAATAATTGTAGCCTTTTCCTGTTCACAAATCCTAAAGTGGACACTCATACATTAATTCGACTATGAATTAATTAGTCATAGAATATTAAATACACGTAACGCCACATCAAATTAGCGGTATTAACTTATACTTTGAAACTGAGAGTTATCTCCCTTCCGTTAGTGCCGATCGTTGCCAAGCTACCGATATCAGCAAAACGACGCCATTTTATGTTGCCGCATCTGCTGTCTCTTTGTTCTCAATCTATAACCTGCCTTGGATTTTGAGCTTCGCTTGAGTTTTTAAACATGCAGTCAAGTAACTGTGTTCAAGGTACCAATGTGTCACAGTTTTATGTTGATTACGTTTCACCGTGTGGTTATATAATCGGCTACCGTCAGGTTGATGCTAATGTTTCATCACTAAGGTCTATAACTAGGCCTGTAGAAATCTCAACGTACTTCTACGTTTCTTAAGATATACTATACGCGTTTCCTCGCATTTTATATTTCTTTTTGGTACTTAAATTTCCTCAATGGCCAATGCTCACATAAATAGTGATTTTGTCCTGACCCCGGGTGAAGCGCACTAACAAATAGAATAAAATAAATACAACTGACACGAACGTGTATACATAAGATGATACCTATAAGGTATATACTTACAAGCTTACGTTTTTAATCAATGACTTTACAGTGTAAATAAGAGTGTGCATGTTTTATTTATTTTCACTTCTCCCCCACACAGAGAGGATGTTTCACCAGGCTTTCACCCCTGCTGCCACCCCTGTCCCACGTCGAGTAGGTGTGCTAGGGTTGTAGAAACAGAATATGACTAACTTTTACAACAGATCCTTGTCTAAATCTCAGTGTGTCAAAGTGTTGATGTTCCATAACCTACTGTATTTCCACTTTCCTAACTCAAGATACACCACACCCTACCTATCACTAGTATCAGTATCACGTTTGTCTCATCATTTCTCTCTTTCCACTTCCCTCCCCACCAGCGTCCGTGTGTGTACCACCCTGAACCCCTGTCCACCCTCCCCACCTCCTACACCTCTGTCCCCGACCCAGCCCCTGTCTCTGTTTCTGTCAACATCACCGGCCACGTCATTATGGTTGACACCGACTTTGTGGAGATCGATCTCGGCCGTGAGGAAGACACACAACCCCTCCCACCCCAGTCCTTCCTGAGAGCCTTGCTGTCCCGCTTCATCCGTCTGGTCAAGAGAGTCTTCACCTTCAACAAAAACGACGCTTAAAGTGATAATTTGTAACAATCTGAGAAGTCCCCTTTCCTCTTTTTTTATGGACACTCTAGCAAATTAGTTATCATTCCCATTTGGTTGTTCTTTCATCAGCATGATAAGTAAATTTTGTTGTTGTTTAAATTGTTGTTGGTTGCTTTATTCTATTTTTAATATGGGAGCCTCCTTACGTATGGAACAAACTCAAACATAACCAAAAGCTACAAGTAACATTACAGAATTCTGCATTCTGATTCTACGTTTGTAGATCTCCTTAGGTCTGTGACAAGTTGGCGAATATCGTATGCAATAGTTACAACAATAGGTTTTACAAGTTACTCGAACCAGAAATCGAACCTTGATCAGGGTGTGACGAGCGAACACTAACTGCTGTGCCATCCTTCAGTCATCCGTTTTCAGATTTGCCAGTTTAAATGTTCAAATATTATAGAACACTAAATGAAAACCCCTCAAAAGATTACTAGCCGAGTGTGTGTAACTATATATGGAATAACAAAATATATAATGTGAGCTCAGCAATTTGTTTGTACAAACCTGAGGACAATTATTTCACCCACCCCAAATTCAAACACGTGTTTAAAATAGGGATGGTAAGAACATGAATAGGGATGTATCAGGAAAGTTTTTGAAGAGAAGTCCTAACTCAGTAGACTATGGGCCATAAGACCTGGACATGATTTTCAGCACCTGTCTCCCTGGTCTTGAAACAAAATTGTATTTAATGTGCTCTTGATGCTGATTTTGTGGAACATCACAGGCCATGTTATTATGGTTGCTCGGTAACAGTATGCTATGAAGTTCTCAAACAATTTCTTACCAAAACAGGCCTAGGCTTCCTAACATTGAATTGAATTTGGTGAAACAGGTCAATAATATACTGGTATACTATATACCTGCAGAACTAATTACAGTTTACAGGATAATTATGATAATAATTTGTGTAATGTACCAGCAAAATTCAATTCGGAAATATTTAGGAAATATTTCTTCCTTGCCAATTATTTCCTAGCTTTCATAACTTACCTATGAATAAATTGATTCAATCTTTGTGATGGTCATGACAATATTATGGTTGACACTAACTTGAGACTGACTTATTTGAGATTTTGGCAGTGAAGAAGAAACAGAAACCCTCCCAGCCGTCCTTCCTGAGAAGCACGATGTCCCGTCCCGTGTCATCCGAGTGGTCAAAAGCGCCTTCACCTCTAGCAAAAACGTTTAATTAAAGCTTTCCTTGGAACAAGTTCCAGGATATTTTGTTGGGTTCATGAACTTTTCATCTTGTTAATTATTTCCATATGGTTTCAGTTGTATAAATAAATGTTTTTGTTGTTCAAACTGGTTTTTGCTGTTATATTTTATCAATGTTAGTGCCTCCTAAATTATCAAAAGCGTGAATAACATCCTAAAACGATGCTACAGAATTCTGGTTCTTGTCTAGTAGTAAGTCTAGGTTAGATCTAATAACCAAATAGGTTTATACATTATGAGGTATAGATTAGCGCATCTTTTTATATTGTATGCACAATCATTGACGTTATTTTTTATGAAATATCATCAAGAATGAATTCCGCCTCTGAGGACAGGGATGATTTTGAAATAACTAAAGTGCTTGACAAACCTAGCCTGACTCTAGATATTGAATCACAGCTCTTTATTAAAAGAATGCGACCAGACGATATTGACACTTCTAATGGAATGTCTTCATTAAAGAAGGTTTGTCGCCATTCCAAATGAACCCTGTAGGAAACTAGGAATTCCACAGAGTAGAATAGGTCCTTGGTATCCATTGCTGGCCATAAGAGCCAAAAGCAAGATTCTTGCTCATGCTTTCAGTCACTGGTTTGTGTGATCATGACTTGATATCATATACAAGCCGGCGTGATACAGCTTACTTCCGTGTGGTCAAAGATATCAATGTATATTTTCCGTTTACGAGAGTAAATAAAATAAGAAATTTGCAACACTGTTCAACCTCAATAGTTTATGCTTCGAAAAGCTTGAAGCTTCTGTCATAGTTATCACAAGTGACAATTGTCCTATCTGACATTTTATTGAAAAAAGTCCAACTATTCTTTGGCCATAATTTGTATTGTTGATTTTTTGTTTTGTTTGTTCTTTAACGCCGCACTCACCAATATTCCAGCTATATGACGTAAGGTATATGACATGTAAATAATCGAATCTGGACAAGACAATCCAGTGATTGACATCATGAGCATCGATCAACGCAATTGGCATACAAAGACATGCATCAACCAAGTCAATGGTCCTGACCACCCGATCCTCGTTAGTTGCCTTTTGAAAGCTTGTTTGCTTGTTTGTTTGTTTTCTTGTTTGTTTGTTGTTTAACGCCGCACTCAGCAATATTCAAGCTATATGACCGCCGTCTGTTAATAATCGAGTCTGGACCAGACAATCCAGTGATTGATATTATGAGTATCCTTCCACGAAATCGGGATACGATGACATGCATCAACAAAGTCAGCGAGCCTGACCACCCGAACCTGTTTGTCGCCTTTTACGACAAGCATAGTCACCTTTTACGGCAAGCATGGGTTGCTGAAGACCTCATCTACCTCGGATCTTCACGGGCCCAGATTACATTGAATCCATGCATATACAAACATGTACTATCAACACAAGACTTGTAGTGCACATGTACGCAAGCACTGGCACTACTTACTGTCATCCAAATGAAAATCCAATTCTTCAGAAAAAATGTGTTCTGTCTAATCGCTGTAGATGAGATTTCTCTTGAAAACATGATGTCACCATTAGATGATTTCACTCATAGTGGTATGTGGGGCAGCCAATTGTCTGAATCCCTCGCCCGTTAGCCTGAACAACTTGGTTCCATTATTTGTAATATGGGTATACAGCGGTAGAAAGTAACAGTTTTAGTGATATAACTTATAATGATAACATATAGAAAAAACCTTAAAAATGGAAAATTTCTACTAGTCCTTATGATACCTTAACTATTGGGCAGTTTGGCAAGGACCACGGGACTAGTGCCAATTTGTAACGCTGGGTTTATCAGAAAAGTTGGCAATTTCAACTCCTACTAAAATGCACTGAAAGGCAAAGGAAAGAAGCCACCAATTTCGAGGACAAATAAAGTAAAAATTTCATTCGGTAAATATTAAACCTGTTTAATTCATAGACAAAACAGGTTCTTACAGGATCACAATAACTAATTTTGTCTCACAAGCCACAATCTGTCACTGTTTCATTGAAGGTGATGAAAGATGGCAGGGTCTTGAACAGAAGTTCAACAAAAACAACCAAGTAGAAGTTTTAAGCTCAACAATGTCATCTTCTCCAAAATCAGACTTCGTTCCTGTTCTGGCGTTATAGTCTCCGCCACAAATAACAATAGCATCTCTTAATTCTGATAAAATGTCCCACAAACTGTTTGGAAATATTATGATGCCATTTTTACAATCAACAGATAAAATGTTATAACAGCTAGATCCCTCAAGATGGATATAAACACATGCATATGATACGTCAGATTGACGGCAGCGCAAGGAATTATCTATATATATATATATATATATATATATACACACACACACACACACACACACACACACACATACAATTTTCCGTTATTTTACATCGTTTAATATATTTTGTAGTTGCTTCTTTACAAGTACTGTTATCACACCTGAAAGTCTGCCTGTCTTAGACAGCCTATCAGCATCTTTAATATAAAGGGTAAAGTCTGTGAAAGTGACCTTCACATCCTCTACATTCTCCAACCAAGTTTCGGTTACACCAATTATATCAAATTTGTTCACATATTTGACAACGTCATTATCTGTTAACACATATATTATGCCTGAGACTTTCCAGAAGAGAAAGTTAGTGAAGCTATTATTACTGTCGCTTCTCTCACTTGATGGGTTCTCTTGATGAGCAGTAAAATCAGCGTATAGGCCCTGGCCACACCCCTTTCTCTGTCTCCCTACTGCTGACCTCTGTGACCTCGAGCGCGTATCCTGTCTCTCATCCTGTTGTCTTTCCTCTCTCTCACCCTCTGTGCCTCCAGATATGCTTTCCTGTGCAGCTTGGGGGCACGGGTGGCCCAGTCGTCTAAGGTGCCGCGATTCGCTGTGCAGAGTTGCGTCCCTCGGACACGCCAGAAACCTATTATCGTAGGTTCGAATCCCGGTTCACCCCGATTATGTTTCTAGGTTTGTCAGCACCATACCCCGTGCTCGTCGGTTTCACCGAAGTGGTAAACGTCTTAGACCTGCATCACTTCGGGCTTTCCTCCCACATTAAGCTGACACGCCGTGATATAACTGGAATAATGGTAAAAGTGGTGTTAAACCCAACTCACTCACTCACTCACTCCTGTACATCTTCATCTTTTCTAGTATCTCTCCTCTCTTTGGCTTCCCTCACTAATTTCCCTTCTTTGTAGTAGAACCGTGTGTCTGGTTCGTCTTTTCTGCATTTTAGTAATTCCTGTCTCTGATTCAAAGTCAAGTCATTAGAGATGCCATATCCTTTATCTTTAAGGACGATCCACATTGACACAGCTTGCATTTTGTCGTCCCAGTGCAGCATCTTCACGATAAGGTTTATTAGGCTTCTTCGTCGGCATACGATGTGCACGTTTCTACATCTCTGGAATTGAGCGGGGGAATTTCTTCTCTATCTTCAGTACTTCCAGAACTTTCTCCTTACACACCATATATGATTCATGTTGTAATTCAGGCACTCCATATAATATTACATTATTTTTCCTGTTTCTGCGTTCTTGGATTCATAGTAGATGTATTATAAATTCACAAAGTTTTGAGGGAATTGTTCAATAAGCATAACTTAAAAGTTGGGTGGGCCCAGTCGCCTAAGGCGCCACGATTCGCTGTGCAGAGTTGCGTCCCTTTGGCACGCCAGAAACCTATGATTGTGGGTTCGAATCCCGGTTCGCCCCGATTATGTTTCTAGCTTTGTCAGCACCATACCCGTGCTCGTGGGTTTCACCAAAGTGGTAAACGCCTGAGACCTGCATCACTTCGGGCCTTCCTCCCACGTTAAGCTGACATGCCGCGATATAACTTGAATACTGTTAAAAGCTGCGTTGAACCCAACTCACACTCACTCACTCACTTAGAAGTTGACGGATGACAATGTACACACAATTTATGGATAACAACTTCTTTATTTTACTGTAACATCGACGTTTCGGTATAGATCCTTATACAGTTGTCAAGCAAGGCTGAATAATGAAAATGGTACAAAATATATATAGAAGGTGGAGGATTAACAGTAACAAACAATTGCATACATGAAAGAGATAAACATGAGTAAGTTAAATAATACACATGATAAGGAAGCCATTTAAACAGGATAAGGATACATAGGAGGGGTCGTTATTGTTTAATGAGTTCACAGTAGGCTGATAGGATGCAATGGCCTTGATCTCTGTTGATTGATGGTTGTGGCGGCGAATGTGGACTGCTTCTCTTTGTTTGCTTTTTGTGAAGTCCTTGAGTTGTTGGAGAGGATTTGGGCGGTTCATGTTGTGATTAGGGCAGTTGCTGATATGGTCCGAATGGCTGATTTACTGTCAGATTTGATGGTTGAAGTTTTGTGCTCTTTGATTCTGGTGTTGATGGGGCGGGATGTTTCACCTACATAGGATTGCCCCATATCATCAGCCTTCAACCCCAATATTGACCCCGACTTCGCCAGATCAACCCCCCTCAATTCTCTAAGAAGGGACAACGGCAGAAACACAACTAAACGCCAAGAACCTAAAGGTGTAGTTCATAAAATTGAATGTAACTGGACAGTCCTATATAGGGAAAACATCCCGCCCTATAACTGTTTGCATTCATCTAGCACCCCCACATTTCTAAAAAGAAAACACGAAAAAAAGATTCAATAATTGTAGCCTTTTCCTGTTCACAAATCCTAAAGTGGACACTCATATATTAATTCGACTATGAATTAATTAGTCATAGAATATTAAATACACGTAACGCCACATCAAATTAGCGGTATTAACTTATACTTTGAAACTGAGAGTTATCTCCCTTCCGTTAGTGCCGATCGTTGCCAAGCTACCGATATCAGCAAAACGACGCCATTTTATGCTGCCGCATCTGCTGTCTCTTTGTTCTCAATCTATAACCTGCCTTGGATTTTGAGCATCGCTTGAGTTTTTAAACATGCAGTCAAGTAGCTGTGTTCAAGGTACCAATGTGTCACAGTTTTATGTTGATTACGTTTCACCGTGTGGTTATATAATCGGCTACCGTCAGGTTGATGCTAATGTTTCATCACTAAGGTCTATAACTAGGCCTGTAGAAATCTCAACGTACTTCTACGTTTCTTAAGATATACTATACGCGTTTCCTCGCATTTTATATTTCTTTTTGGTACTTAAATTTCCTCAATGGCCAATGCTTACATAAATAGTGATTTTGTCCTGACCCCAGGTGAAGCGCACTAACAAATAGAATAAAATAAATACAACTGACACGAACGTGTATACATAAGATGATACCTATAAGGTATATACTTACAAGCTTACGTTTTTAATCAATGACTTTACAGTGTAAATAAGAATGTGCATGTTTTATTTATTTTCACTTCTCCCCCACACAGAGAGGATGTTTCACCAGGCTTTCACCCCTGCTGCCACCCCTGTCCCACGTCGAGTAGGTGTGCTAGGGTTGTAGAAACAGAATATGACTAACTTTTACAACAGATCCTTGTCTAAATCTCAGTGAGTCAAAGTGTTGATGTTCCATAACCTACTGTATTTCCACTTTCCTAACTCAAGATACACCACACCCTACCTATCACTAGTATCAGTATCACGTTTGTCTCATCATTTCTCTCTTTCCACTTCCCTCCCCACCAGCGTCCGTGTGTGTACCACCCTGAACCCCTGTCCACCCTCCCCACCTCCTACACCTCTGTCCCCGACCCAGCCCCTGTCTCTGTTTCTGTCAACATCACCGGCCACGTCATTATGGTTGACACCGACTTTGTGGAGATCGATCTCGGCCGTGAGGAAGACACACAACCCCTCCCACCCCAGTCCTTCCTGAGAGCCTTGCTGTCCCGCTTCATCCATCTGGTCAAGAGAGTCTTCTCCTTCAACAAAAACGACGCTTAAAGTGATAATTTGTAACAATCTGAGAAGTCCCCTTTCCTCTTTTTTTATGGTCACTTTAGCAAATTAGTTATCATTCCCATTTGGTTGTTCTTTCATTAGCATGATTAGTAAATTTTGTTGTTGTTCAAATTGTTGTTGGTTGCTTTATTCTATTATTAGTGTAGGAGCCTCCTTATGTATGGAACAAACTCAAACATAACCTGAAGCTACGAGTCACATTACACAATTCTGCATTCTGATTCTACATTTGTAGATCTGCTTAGGTCTGTGACAACTTGGCGAATATCGTATGCAATAGTTACAACAATAGGTTTAACAAGTTACTCGAACCAGAAATCGAACCTTGATCAGGGTGTGACGAGCGAACACTAACTGCTGTGCCATCCTTCAGTCAATCTGTTTTCAGATTTGCCAGTTTAAATGTTCAAATATTATGGAACACTAAATGAAAACCCCTCAAAAGATTACTAGCCGAGTGTGTGTAACTATATATGGAATAAAAAAATATATAATGTGAGCTCAGCAATTTGTTTGTACAAACCTGAGGACAATTATTTCCCCCACCCCAAATTCAAACACGTGTTTAAAATAGGGATGGTAAGAACATGAATATTGATGTATCAGGAAAGTTTTTGAAGAGAAGTCCTAACTCAGTAGACTATGGGCCATAAGACCTGGACATGATTTTCAGCACCTGTCTCCCTGGTCTTGAAACAAAATTGTATTTAATGTGCTCTTGATGCTGATTTTGTGGAACATCACAGGCCATGTTATTATGGTTGCTCGGTAACAGTATGCTATGAAGTTCTCAAACAATTTCTTACCAAAACAGGCCTAGGCTTCCTAACATTGAATTGAATTTGGTGAAACAGGTCAATAATATACTGGTATACTATATACCTGCAGAACTAATTACAGTTTACAGGATAATTATGATAATAATTTGTGTAATGTACCAGCAAAATTCAATTCGGAAATATTTAGGAAATATTTCTTCCTTGCCAATTATTTCCTAGCTTTCATAACTTACCTATGAATAAATTGATTCAATCTTTGTGATGGTCATGACAATATTATGGTTGACACTAACTTGAGACTGACTTATTTGAGATTTTGGCAGTGAAGAAGAAACAGAAACCCTCCCAGCCGTCCTTCCTGAGAAGCACGATGTCCCGTCCCGTGTCATCCGAGTGGTCAAAAGCGCCTTCACCTCTAGCAAAAACGTTTAATTAAAGCTTTCCTTGGAACAAGTTCCAGGATATTTTGTTGGGTTCATGAACTTTTCATCTTGTTAATTATTTCCATATGGTTTCAGTTGTATGAATAAATGTTTTTGTTGTTCAAACTGTTTTTTGCTGTTATATTTTATCAATGTTAGTGCCTCCTAAATTATCAAAAGCGTGAATAACATCCTAAAACGATGCTACAGAATTCTGGTTCTTGTCTAGTAGTAAGTCTAGGTTAGATCTAATAACCAAATAGGTTTATACATTATGAGGTATAGATTAGCGCATCTTTTTATATTGTATGCACAATCATTGACGTTATTTTTTATGAAATATCATCAAGAATGAATTCCACCTCTGAGGACAGGGATGATTTTGAAATAACTAAAGTGCTTGACAAACCTAGCCTGACTCTAGATATTGAATCACAGCTCTTTATTAAAAGAATGCGACCAGACGATATTGACACTTCTAATGGAATGTCTTCATTAAAGAAGGTTTGTCGCCATTCCAAATGAACCCTGTAGGAAACTAGGAATTCCACAGAGTAGAATAGGTCCTTGGTATCCATTGCTGGCCATAAGAGCCAAAAACAAGATTCTTGCTCATGCTTTCAGTCACTGGTTTGTGTGATCATGACTTGATATCATATACAAGCCGGCGTGATACAGCTTACTTTCGTGTGGTCACAGATATCAATGTATATTTTCCGTTTACGAGAGTAAATAAAATGAGAAATTTGCAACACTGTTCAACCTCAATAGTTTATGCTTCGAAAAGCTTGAAGCTTCTGTCATAGTTATCACAAGTGACAATTGTCCTATCTGACATTTTATTGAAAAAAGTCCAACTATTCTTTGGCCATACTTTGTATTGTTGATTTTTTGTTTTGTTTGTTCTTTAACGCCGCACTCACCAATATTCCAGCTATATGACGTAAGGTATATGACATGTAAATAATCGAATCTGGACAAGACAATCCAGTGATTGACATCATGAGCATCGATCAACGCAATTGGCATACAAAGACATGCATCAACCAAGTCAATGGTCCTGACCACCCGATCCTCGTTAGTTGCCTTTTGAAAGCTTGTTTGCTTGTTTGTTTGTTTTCTTGTTTGTTTGTTGTTTAACGCCGCACTCAGCAATATTCAAGCTATATGACCGCCGTCTGTTAATAATCGAGTCTGGACCAGACAATCCAGTGATTGATATTATGAGTATCCTTCCACGAAATCGGGATACGATGACATGCATCAACAAAGTCAGCGAGCCTGACCACCCGAACCCGTTTGTCGCCTTTTACGACAAGCATAGTCACCTTTTACGGCAAGCATGGGTTGCTGAAGACCTCATCTACCTCGGATCTTCACGGGCCCAGATTACATTGAATCCATGCATATACAAACATGTACTATCAACACAAGACTTGTAGTGCACATGTTTGCAAGCACTGGCACTACTTACTGTCATCCAAATGAAAATCCAATTCTTCAGAAAAAATGTGTTCTGTCTAATCGCTGTAGATGAGATTTCTCTTGAAAACATGATGTCACCATTAGATGATTTCACTCATAGTGGTATGTGGGGCAGCCAATTGTCTGAATCCCTCGCCCGTTAGCCTGAACAACTTGGTTCCATTATTTGTAATATGGGTATACAGCGGTAGAAAGTAACAGTTTTAGTGATATAACTTATAATGATAACATATAGAAAAAACCTTAAAAATGGAAAATTTCTACTAGTCCTTATGATACCTTAACTATTGGGCAGTTTGGCAAGGACCACGGGACTAGTGCCAATTTCTAACGCTGGGTTTATCAGAAAAGTTGGCAATTTCAACTCCTACTAAAATGCACTGAAAGGCAAAGGAAAGAAGCCACCAATTTCGAGGACAAATAAAGTAAAAATTTCATTCGGTAAATATTAAACCTGTTTAATTCATAGACAAAACAGGTTCTTACAGGATTACATGACCAATTTTGTCTCACAAGCCACAATCTGTCACTGTTTCATTGAAGGTGATGAAAGATGGCAGGGTCTTGAACAGAAGTTCAACAAAAACAACCAAGTAGAAGTTTTAAGCTCAACAATGTCATCTTCTCCAAAATCAGACTTCGTTCCTGTTCTGGCGTTATAGTCTCCGCCACAAATAACAATAGCATCTCTTAGTTCTGATAAAATGTCCCACAAACTGTTTGGAAATATTATGATGCCATTTTTACAATCAACAGATAAAATGTTATAACAGCTAGATCCCTCAAGATGGATATAAACACATGCATATGATACGTCCGATGGACGGCAGCGCAAGGAATTATCTATATATATATACACACACACACACACACACACACATACAATTTTCCGTTATTTTACATCGTTTAATATATTTTGTAGTTGCTTCTTTACAAGTACTGTTATCACACCTGAAAGTCTGCCTGTCTTAGACAGCCTATCAGCATCTTTAATATAAAGGGTAAAGTCTGTGAAAGTGACCTTTACATCCTCTACATTCTCCAACCAAGTTTCGGTTACACCAATTATATCAAATTTGTTCACATATTTGACAACGTCATTATCTGTTAACACATATATTATGCCTGAGACTTTCCAGAAGAGAAAGTTAGTGAAGCTATTATTACTGTCGCTTCTCTCACTTGATGGGTTCTCTTGATGAGCAGTAAAATCAGCGTATAGGCCCTGGCCACACCCCTTTCTCTGTCTCCCTACTGCTGACCTCTGTTGTCTCATCCTGTTGTCTTTCCTCTCTCTCACCCTCTGTGCCTCCAGATATGCTTTCCTGTGCAGCTTGGGGGCACGGGTGGCCCAGTCGTCTAAGGTGCCGCGATTCGCTGTGCAGAGTTGCGTCCCTCGGACACGCCAGAAACCTATTATCGTAGGTTCGAATCCCGGTTCACCCCGATTATGTTTCTAGGTTTGTCAGCACCATACCCCGTGCTCGTCGGTTTCACCGAAGTGGTAAACGTCTTAGACCTGCATCACTTCGGGCTTTCCTCCCACATTAAGCTGACACGCCGTGATATAACTGGAATAATGGTAAAAGTGGTGTTAAACCCAGCTCACTCACTCACTCACTCCTGTACATCTTCATCTTTTCTAGTCTCCTCTCTTTGGCTTCCCTCACTAATTTCCCTTCTTTGTAGTAGAACCATGTGTCTGGTTCGTCTTTTCTGCATTTTAGTAATTCCTGTCTCTTATTCAAAGTCAAGTCATTAGAGATGCCATATCCTTTATCTTTAAGGACGATCCACATTGACATAGCTTGCATTTTGTCGTCCCAGTGCAGCATCTTCACGATAAGGTTTATTAGGCTTCTTCGTCGGCATACGATGTGCACGTTTCTACATCTCTGGAATTGAGCGGGGGAATTTCTTCTCTGTCTTCAGTACTTCCAGAACTTTCTCCTTACACACCATATATGATTCATGTTGTAATTCAGGCACTCCATATAATATTACATTATTTTTCCTGTTTCTGCGTTCTTGGATTCATAGTAGATGTATTATAAATTCACACTTGAGACTGACTTTTTTGAGATTTTGGCAGTGAGAAAGAAACACAAACCCTCCCAGCCATCCTTCCTGAGAGCCATGATGTCCCGTGTCATCCGAGTGGTCAAAAGAGTCTTCACCTCCAGCAACAATGTTTAAAGCTTTCCTTGGAACAAGTTCCAGGATATTTTGTTGGATTCATTAACTTTTCGTCTTGTTATTTATTTCCATATGGTTTCAGTTGTACAAATAAATGTTTTTGTTGTTCAAACTGTTGTTTGCTGTTATATTTTATCAATGTTAGTGCTTCCTAAATTATCAAAAGCGTGAATAACATCCTAAAACGATGCTACAGAACTCTGGTTCTTGTCTTGTAGTAAGTCTAGGTTAGATCTAATAACCAAATAGGTTTATATATCATGAGGTATAGATTAGCGCATCTTTTTATATTGTATGCACAATCATTGACGGGTTTTTTTATGAAATAACATCAAGAATGAATTCCGCCTCTGAGGACAGGGATGATTTTGAAATGACTAAAGTGCTTGACAATAGGGCTGGGACGAGTCCAAATTTACTACCCAGGTACCCACCCCCCCTATAACCCGACCCTACCCGGGTACCCACTGTAAGTCTCAGGAGATGTCACAAAATGTCCGAATGGGAACATTTTTAGCATAGCCCTGGCAAAACGTATTAAGATACATGTATTGAACAATCTGGTCATTCATACACTAAAGTTTTAACTTTATTCCACCATATGAAAAATCAGAAGGAATGGGTTCATATTCAGAAAGAAATGCGAACATTAGTGGCTTGTAGTGTAACCATAGATAATTTTTTCATTAAACAATATATCACGTGACTAACCACGGGTCCGGGTAGTCCTGTGGGTACCCGGATCCTACTCAGTACCCACCTGACCCGGGTACCTGAGTTACCCATCCCAGCCCTACTTGACAAACCTAGCCTGACTGTAACTATTGAATCACAATTCTTTATTAATAGAATGCGACCAGACCATAATGACACTTCTGATGGAATGTCTACATTAAAGAAGGTTTTTTGCCATTTCAAAAAACCCTGTAGGAAACTAGGAATTCCACAGAGTAGATAGGTCCTTGGTATCCATTGCTGGCCATAAGAGCCAAAAACAAGATTCTTGCTCATGCTTTCGGTCACTGGTTTGTGTGATCATGACTCGATATTATATACAAGCCGGCGTGATACAGCTTACTTCCGTGTGGTCACAGATATCAATGTATATTTTCAGTTTACGAGAGTAAATAATATGAGACATTTGCAACACTTTTAATCCTCAATAGTTTCTGCTTTGCAAAGCTTGAAGTTTCTGTCATAGCTATCACAAGTGACAATTGTCCTATCTAACATTTTATTGAAAAAAGTCAATATCCATTGGCCATACTTAGTTTTTGTTGATTTTTTGTTTTGTTTGTTCTTTAACGCCGCACTCACCAATATTCCAGCTATATGACGTAAGGTATATGACGTATGTAAATAATGGAGTCTGGACAAGTCAATCCAGTGATTGACATCATGAGCATCGATCAACGCAATTGGCATACAAAGACATGCATCAACCAAGTCAGCAATCCTGGCCACCCGATCCTCGTTAGTTGCCTCTTGAAAGCTTGTTTGTTTGTTTGTTGTTTAACACCGCGCTCAGCAATATTCAAGCTATATGACGGCGGGTCTGCAAATAATCGAGTCTGGACCAGACAATCCAGTGATTGATATTATGAGCATCGATCCACGAAATTGGGATACGATGACATGCATCAACAAAGTCAGCGAGCCTGACCACCCGATCCCATTTGTCGCCTTTTACGGCAAGCATGGGTTGCTGAAGACCTATTCTACCCCGGATCTTCACGGGTCCAGATTACATTGAATCCATGCATATACAAACATGTACTATCAACGCAAGCATTTGTAGTGCACATGCACGCAAGGACTATCACTACTTACTGTCATCCAAATGAAAATCCAAATCTTTTGAAAAAAATGTGTTTTGTCTAATGGCTGTAGATGAGATTTCTCTTGAAGATATGAGGTCACCAAAAGATGATTTCACTCATTAGTGGTATGTGGGGCAGCCAATTGTCTGAATCACTCGCTCGTTAGCCTGAACAACTTGGTTCCATTATTTCTAATATGGGTCTACAGTGGTAGAAACTAACAGTTTAGTTTAGTAAATTATAATGATAACATATAGCAAAACCCTTAAAAATGGAAAATTTCTACTACCTTAACTATTGGGCAGTTTGGCAAGGACCACAGGACTTGTGCCAATTTCTAACGCTGGGTATATCAGACAGGCCAAAGAAAGTAGCCACCAATTTCGAGGACTAATAAAGTAAAAAATTTATTCGGTAAATATTAAACCTGTTTAATTCATAGACGAAACAGGCTCTTACAGGATCACACGATCAATTTTGTCTCATAAGCCACAATCTATCACTGTTTCATTGAAGGTGATGAGTGAGTGAGTGAGTGAGTATGGTTTTACGCCGCTTTTAGCAATATTCCAGCAATATCACGGCGGGGTGAAGGCGATGAAAGATGGCTGGATCTTGAACAGAAGTGCAACAAAAACAACCGAGTAGTAGTTTGAAGCTCAACAATGCCATCTTCTCCAAAATCAGACTTCGTTCCTGTTGCGGCGTTATAGTCTCCACCACAAATAATAATAGCATCTCTTAATTCTGATAAAATGTATAACAAACTGTTTGGAAATATATTGATGCCATTTTTACAATCAACAGATAAATAGAGGTTATCACGCGAGTGTGTTCGGGGATAGTAAATATCCTGCATTAGGAATAAACATTGTATTTAGCGGGCCTTGGCCAGCTAAATACATAGTGTTTATTCCTAATACAGGATATTTACCATCCCCAAACACACAAGCGTTGATAACTTCTTCATCATATAATGTCATTCTTTAATTCTGTGCTTCAAAATCGCTTTCCCTCTTTCACAAACATTACCTAAACATTGCGAGTTTTCCTTGAATGCGCGCATTAATATATATTACGTCACAGGGTAAGTGATGTGTCAGTCGGACAGTGACAGTAGCCAATATAGTTCCAACTGAAATCTCTTTCTTAAACAGTGGCGAAGCAACATATACTCAAAACAACTATTGTTTTTAATTGCCTTTCGCGACAATCCATCGGTCTGTCCGCTAGAGTAACTGCCCTTTGTCAAAGGGAAGCTACTCTAACCCTAGCCTATGAGACGTCACGGCCACGGTCAGACGATGTTGACAGTCGGTCTGTCCTGTCATAGTTAAGAAGTGTAGTCAGATGTACACAAAGCGTCAAAACGAAACAAGGTAACAATACAAACATATTTCGGCCAAATCCAACTGTTTTAATTTGAGGGGAAGGTTTCAAGCCGCAGAGGTCTACAAACACAGATGTGCCCTCGCAAAATTGTTTGCTAAATTTATATCTCCAAAGTTGCCAAAACTTATAAAATGCCTTAGCTACATTACAGTTAGACACTGATTTTCAGTATATTAGACTGTTCTTTTGATAATGATAGCAATTATCCCTGTAGTTTATCCAGATTCCCGATGGTTAATTCTGACTCGATCGCCGAATGACGAGGGCGATGCCATGTTTGTTTATAAACAGTGAAAATAAGTCCCTACTCGACCTTTGATATTTGTATCTCTATCCGCATATGACCCCAACGGATATCGTTTTTATCCGTTGGCTTTATCCTGTCGAGAAACCTACCCATTATATGATAAAATGTTATACGAGCTAGATCCCTCAGGATAGATATATACACATGCATATAATACGTCGGATTGACGGCCGTGCAAGGAATTATCAATATATATATAATTTTACGTTATTTTACACCGTTTTATAATATATTTCTGTAGTTTCTTCTTTACAAGTACTATTATCCCACCTGAAAGTCTGCCTGTCTTAGACAGCCTATCAGCATCTTTAATATAAAGGGTAAAGTCTGTGAAAGTGACCTTCACATCCTCTACATTCTCCAACCAAGTTTCGGTTACACCAATTATATCAAATTTGTTCACATATTTGACAAAGGCATTATCTGTTAACTTAAATATTATGCCTGAGACATTCCAGGAGAGAAAGTTAATGAAGCTACATGTATTATTACTGTCGCTTCTCTCACTTGATGGGTTCTCTTGATGAGCAGTAAAATCAGCGTATAGGCCCTGGCCACACCCTTATCTCTGCCTCCCTACTGCTGACCTCTGTGACCTCGAGCGTGTATCCCGTCTCTCATCCTGTTGTCTTTCCTCTCTCTCACCCTCTGTGCCCCCAGATATGCTTTCCTGTGCAGCTTGGGGGCACGGGTGGCCCAGTCGTCTAAGGCGCCGCGATTCGTTGTGCCGAAGTGGTAAACGTCTTAGACCTGCGTCACTTTGGGCTTTCCTCCAACATTAAGCTGACATGCCGTGATATAACTGGATTAATGGTAAAAGCGGCGTTAAACACAACTCACTCACTCACGCACTCCTGCGCTGCTTCATCTTTTCTAGTATCTCTCCTCTCTTCGGCTTCCCTCACATATTTCACTTCTTTGTAGTAGAACCGTGTGTCTGGTTCGTCTGTTCTGCATTAGAGTAATTCCTGTCACTGATTCAAAGTCAAGTCATTAGAGATGTCATTTCCTTTACCTTTAAGGACGATCCACATTGACACAGCTTGCATTTTGTCGTCCCAGTGCAGCATCTTCACGATAAGGTTTATTTTAGGCTTCTTCGTCGGCATCCGATGTGCACGTTTCTACATCTCTGGAATTGAGCGGGGGAATTTCTTCTCTATCTTCAGTACTTCCAGAACTTTCTCCTTACACACCATATATGATTCATGTTGTAATTCAGGCACTCCATATAATATTACATTATTTTTCCTGTTTCAGCGTTCTTGGATTCATAGTAGTGGTATTATAAATTCACAAGGTTTTGAGGGAATTGTTCGATAAGCATAACTTAAAAGTTGGGAGGGCCAAGTCGCCTAGGGCGCCGCGATTCGCTGTGCAGAGTTGCGTCCCTTTGGCATGCCAGAAACCTATGATTGTGGGTTCGAATCCAGGTTCGCCCCGATTATGTTTCTAGCTTTGTTAGCATGATACCCGTGCTCGTGGGTTTCACCGAAGTGGTAAACGCCTGAGACCTGCATCACTTCGGGCTTTCCTCCCACATCAGAGACCATATCTATTATATGGTCTCTGCCCACATTAAGCTGACGTGCCGTGATATAACTGGAAGACTGTTAAAAGCTTCGTCAAACCCAACTCCCACTCACTCACTTAGAAGTTGACGGATGACAATGTACACACAATTTATGGATAACAACTTCTTTATTTTACTGTAACATCGACGTTTCGGTATAGATCCTTATGCCGTTGTCAAGCAAGGCTGAATAATGAAATGGTACAAAATATATATTGAAGGTGGAGGATTAACAGTAACAAACAATTGCATACATGAAAGAGATAAACATGAGTAAGTTAAATAATACACATGATAAGGAAGCCATTTAAACAGGATAAGTATACATAGGAGGGGTCGCTATTGCTAGATGAGTTCACAGTAGGCGGATAGGATGAAATGGCCTTGATCTCTGTTGATTGATGGTTGTGGCGGCGAATGTGGACTGCTTCTCTTAGTTTGCTTTTTGTGAAGTCCTGGAGTTGTTGGAGAGGATTTGGGCGGTTCATGTTGTGATTAGGGCAGTTGCTGATATGGTCCGAATGGCTGATTTACTGTCGGATTTGATGGTTGAAGTTTTGTGCTCTTTGATTCTGGTGTTGATGGGGCGGGATGTTTCACCTACATAGGATTGCCCCATATCATCAGCCTTCAACCCCAATATTGACCCCGACTTCGCCAGATCAACCCCCCTCAATTCTCTAAGAAGGGACAACGGCAGAAACACAACTAAACGCCAAGAACCTAAAGGTGTAGTTCATAAAATTGAATGTAACTGGACAATCCTATATAGGGAAAACATCCCGCCCTATAACTGTTTGCATTCATCTAGCACCCCCACATTTCCAAAAAGAATACACGAAAATAAGGTTCAATAATCGTAGCCTTTTCCTGTTCACAAATCCTAAAGTGGACACTCATATATTAATTCGACTATGAATTAATTAGTCATAGAATATTAAATACACGTAACGCCACATCAAATTAGTGGTATTAACTTATACTTTGAAACTGAGAGTTATCTCCCTTCCGTTGGTGCCGATCGTTGCCAAGCTACCGATATCAGCAAAACGACGCCATTTTATGTTGCCGCATCTGCTGTCTCTTTGTTCTCAATCTATAACCTGCCTTGTATTTTGAGAATCGCTTGAGTTTTTAAACATGCAGTCAAATAGCTGTGTTCAAGGTACCAATGTGTCACAGTTTTATGTTGATTACGTTTCACCCTGTGGTTATATAATCGGCTACCGTCAGGTTGATGCCAAGGTCTCTATACTCTCATCACTAAAGTCTATAACTAGGCCTATAGAAATTTCAACGTACTTCAACGTTTCTCAATATATACTAAACCCGTTTCCTCGCATTTTATATTTCTTCTATGTACTTCAATTTCTTCAATGGCCAATGCTTACATAAATAGTGATTTTGTCCTGCCCCAGGTGAAAAGCACACTAACAAATAGAACGAAATAAATAAATACAACTGACACGAACGTGTATAGATATATATAGACCTACCGGTATATGGTATATACTTACAAGCTTACGTTTTTAATGACTTTACAGTGTAAACAAGAGTGTACATGTTTTATTTATTTTCACTTCTCCCCCACACAGAGAGGATGTTTCACCCGGCTTTCACCCCTGCTGCCACTCCTGTCCCACGTCGAGTAGGTGTGCTAGGGTTGTAGAAACAGAATATGACTAACTTTTACAACAGATCCTTGTCTAAATCTCAGTGTGTCAAAGTGTTGATGTTCCATAACCTCTTGTATGTCCCAACTAAATATACACCGCACCCTATCTATCACTAGTGTCAGTATCACGTTTGTCTCATCATTTCTCTCTTTCCACTTCTCTCCCCACCAGCGTCCTTGTGTGTACCACCCTGAACCCCTGTCCACCCTCCCAACCTCCTACACCTCTGTCCCCGACCCAGCCCCTGTCTCTGTTTCTGTCAACATCACCGGCCACGTCATTATGGTTGACACCGACTTTGTGGAGATCGATCTCGGCCGTGAGGAAGACACACAACCCCTCCCATCCCAGTCCTTCCTGAGAGCCTTGCTGTCCCGCTTCATCAGTCTGGTCAAGAGAGTCTTCACCTCCAACAAAAACGATGCTTAAAATGATAATTTGTAACAGTCTGAGAAGTCCCCTTTCCTCTTTTTTTATGGACACTTTGGCAAATTAGTTATCATTCCCATTTGGTTGTTCTTTCATTAGCATGATTAGTAAATTTTGTTGTTAAAATTGTTGTTGGTTGCTTTATTCTATTATTAGTGTAGGAGCCTCCTTACGTATGGAACAAACTCAAACATAACCTAAAGCTACGAGTCACATTACACAATTCTGCATTCTGATTCTACGTTTGTAGATCTCCTTAGGTCTCTGACAACTTGGCGAATATCGTATGCAATAGTTAAATATCGTAGTCCAATAATAGGTTTCACAAATTACTCATGTTAGAAATCGAAACTGATCAGGGTGTGACAAGCGAACACTAACTGCTGTGCCACTCTTCAGCCAATCTGTTTTCAGATTTGCCAGTTTAAATGTTCAAATTTCATAGAACACTCAATAATAACCCATGAATATATATATATAGGGACACATACACACACACACACACACACACACACACACACACACACACTAAAATAGGGATGGTAAGAACATGAAAAGGAAAGTTTTTGAAGAGAAGTCCTAACTCAGTAGACTATGGGCCATAAGACCTGGACATGATTTTCAGCACCTGTCTCCCTGGTCTTGAAACAAAAATGTATTTAATGTGCTCTTGATGCTGATTTTGTGGAACATCACAGGCCATGTTATTATGGTTGCTTGGTAACAGCATGCTATGAAGTTCTCAAACGATTTCTTACCAAAACAGGCCTAGGCTTCCTAACATTGAATTGAATTTGGTGAAACTGGTCAATAATATACTGGTATACTATATATCTGCAGAACTAATTAGTTTACAGGATAATAATGATAATAATTTGTGTACTGTACCATCCAAATACAATTCGGAAATATTTAGGAAATATTTCTTCCTTGCTAATTATTTCCTAGCTTTCATAAGTCATAAATAAATTGATACAATCTTTGTGATGGTCATGACAATAATATGGTTGACACTAACTTGAGACTGACTTATTTGAGATTTTGGCAGTGAGGAAGAAACACAAATCCTCCCAGCCATCCTTCCTGAGAGCCATGATGTCCCGTGTCATCCGAGTGGTCAAAAGAGTCTTCACCTCCAGCAACAATGTTTAAAGCTTTCCTTGGGACAAGTTCCAGGATATTTTGTTGGATTCATTAACTTTTTGTCTTGTTTATTATTTCCATATGGTTTCAGTTGTATAAATAAATGTTTTTGTTGTTCAAACTGTTTTTTGCTGTTGTATTTTATCAATGTTAGTGCCTCCTAAATTATCAAAAGCGTGAATAACATCCTAAAACGATGCTACAGAACTCTGGTTCTTGTCTGGCAGTAAGTCTAGGTTAGATCTAATAACCAAGTAGGTTTATACATCATGAGGTATAGATTAGCGCATCTTTTAATATTGTATGCACAATCATTGACGTTTTTTTAAATGAAATAACATCAAGAATGAATTCCGCCACTGTGGACAGGGACGATTTTGAAATGACTAAACTGCTTGACAGTGGACAAACCTAACCTGATTGTAATTATTGAACTACAGCTCTCTATTAAAAGAATGCGACCAGACCATAATGACACTTCTAATGGAATGTCTACATTAAAGAAGGTTTTTCGCCATTCCAAATGAACCCTGTAGGAAACTAGGATTTCCACAGAGTATAATAGGTCCTTGGTATCCTTTGCATGCCATAAGAGCCAAAAACAAGATTCTTGCTCATGCTTTCGGTCACTGGTTTGTGTGATCATGACTTGATATCACATACAAGCCGGCGTGATACAGCTTACTTCCGTGTGGTCACAGATATCAATGTATATTTTCAGTTTACAAGAGTAAATAATATGAGACATTTGCAACACTGTCAACCTCAATAGTTTCTGCTTTGAAAAACTTGAAGCTTCTGTCATAGCTCTCAAAAGTGACAATTTTCCTATTCTTTGGCCATACTTAGTTTTTGTTGATTTTTTGTTTTGTTTGTTCTTTAACGCCGCACTCACCAATATTCCAGCTATATGACGTAAGGTATATGACGTATGTAAATAATGGAGTCTGGACAAGACAATCCAGTGATTGACATCATGAGCATCGATCAACGCAATTGGCATATAAAGACATGCATCAACCAAGTCAGCAATCCTGACCACCCGATCCTCGTTAGTTGCCTCTTGAACGCTTGTTTGTTTGTTGTTTAACGCAGCACGCAGCAATATTCCAGCTTTATGACAGCCGTCTGTAAACAATCGAGTCTGGACCAGACAATCCAGTGATTGACATGATGAGCATCGATCCACGAAATTGGGATACGATGACATGCATCAACAAGGTCAGTGAGCCTGACCACCCGATCCCGTTTGTCGCCTTTTACGACAAGCATAGTCGCCTTTTACGGCAAGCATGGGTTGCTGAGGACCCATTCTACCCCGGATCTCCTCTTGAAAGCAAAGTAGCCTCTTACTGCAAGCATCAGTTGCTGAAGAGTATTTCTTACCTGGATCTTCATGGGTGGGTACATCGTCATGGATATTAAATGTTACCTGACATACTCCTTTATAATGTTTATGAACCTCCAGTGTAACATTTCCTGCAGTTCTTTCCAATCTCAAATCTTGATATATCCATTTGATACCATTACATATTTTACCATGCATCGGCATGCAAAGAGATCCCGATCTCGTTAGTCGCCTCGTACGACAAGCTTATTCTCCTTTTACGGCAAGCATGGGTTGCTGAAGACCTATTCCACCCCGGATCTTCATGGGTCCAGATTACATTGAATCCATGCATATACAAACATGTACTATCAACGCAAGCATTTGTAGTGCACATGCACGAAAGCACTATCACAACTTACTGTCGTCCAAATGAAAATCCAACTCTTCTGAAAAAAAATGTTTTCTGTCTAATGGCTGTAGATGAGATTTCTCTTAAAAAGATGTCACCATTAGATGATTTCACTCATTAGTGGTATGTGGGGCAGCCAATTGGCTGAATCCCTCGCCCGTTAGCCTGAACAACTTGGTTCCATTATTTCTAATATGGGTAAACAGCGGTAGAAAGTAACAGTTTAAGTGATATAACTTATAATGATAACATATAGCAAACCCCTTAAAAATGGAAAATTTCTACTAATCCTTATGATACCTTAACTATTGGGCAGTTTGGCAAGGACCACAGGATTAGTGCCAATTTCTAACGCTGGGTATGTCAGACAAGTAGGCTATATCAACTCCTTCTAAAATGCACTGAAAGGCAAAAGAAAGTAGCCACCAATTTCGAGGACTAATAAAGTAAAAATTTCATTCTGTAAATATTAAACATGTTTAATTCATAGACAAAAAAAGACTCTTACAGCATCACATGACCAATTTTGTCTCACAAGCAACAACCTATCACTGTTTCATTGAAGGTGATGAAAGATGGCTGGATCTTGAACAGAAGTTCAACAAAAACTACTGATTAGTAGTTTTCAGCTCAACAATGTCATCTTAGAAAGTCTATCAGCATCTTAAATGTAAAGGGTAAAGTCTGTGAAAGTGATCTTCACATCCTCTACATTATCCAACCAAGTTTCGGTTACAACAATTACATCAAATTTGTTCACATATTTGACAAAGTCCTTATCTGTTAACTCATATATTATGCCTGAGACATTCCAGAAGATAAAGTTAATAAAGCTATTATTACTGTCGCTTCTCTCACTTGATGGGTTCTCTTGATGAGCAGTAAAATCAGCGTAAAAACCCTGGCCACACCCCTTTCTCTGTCTCCCTACTGCTGACCTCTGTGACCTCGAGCGCGTATCCCGTCTCTCATCCTGTTGTCTTTCCTCTCTCTCACCCTCTGTGCCCCCAGATATGCTTTCCTGTGCAGCTTGGGGGCACGGGTGGCCCAGTCGTCTAAGGCGCCGCGATTCATTGTGCAGAGTTGCGTCCCTTGGACACGCCAGAAACCTATGATTTTGGTTCGAATCACGGTTCACCCTGATTATGTTTCTAGGTTTGTCAGCACCATACCCGGTGCTCTTGGGTTTCACCGAAGTGGAAAACGTCTTAGACCTGCATCACTTCGGGCTTTCCTCCCACATTAAGCTGACACGCCGTGATATAACTGGAATAATGGTAAAAGCGGCATTAAACCCAACTCACTCACTTACTCACTCACTCGTGTGCAGCTTCATCTTTTCTAGTATCTCTCCTCTCTTCGGCTTCCCTCACTAATTTCCCTTCTTTGTAGTAGAACCGTGTGTTGCGTCCCTTGGGCACGCCAGAAACCTATGATTGTGGGTTCGAATCCCAGTTCGCCCCGATTATGTTTCTAGCTTTGTCAGCACCATACCCGTGCTCGTGGGTTTCACCGAAGTGGTAAACGCCTGAGACCTGCATCACTTCGGGCCTTCCTCCCACGTTAAGCTGACACGCCGTGATATAACTGGAAGACTGTTAAAAGCTTCGTCAAACCCAACTCCCACTCACTCACTCACTTAGAAGTTGACGGATGACAATGTACACACAATTTATGGATAACAACTTCTTTATTTTACTGTAACATCGACGTTTCGGTATAGATCCTTATGCCGTTGTCAAGCAAGGCTGAATAATGAACATGGTACAAAATATATATTGAAGGTGGAGGATTAACAGTAACAAACAATTGCATACATGAAAGAGATAAACATGAGTAAGTTAAATAATACACATGATAAGGAAGCCAATTAAACAGGATAAGTATACATAGGAGGGGTCGCTATTGCTAGATGAGTTCACAGTAGGCGATATGATGCAATGGCCTTGATCTCTGTTGATTGATGGTTGTGGCGGCGAATGTGGACTGCTTCTCTTAGTTTGCTTTTTGTGAAGTCCTGGAGGTTGTTGGAGAGGATTTGGGCGGTTCATGTTGTGATTAGGGCAGTTGCTGATATGGTCCGAATGGCTGATTTACTGTCGGATTTGATGGTTGAAGTTTTGTGCTGTTTGATTCTGGTGTTGATGGGGCGGGATGTTTCACCTACATAGGATTGCCCCATATCATCAGCCGCCTCCTTCAACCCCAATATTGACCCCGACTTCGCCAGATCAAACCGCCTCAATTCTCTAAGAAGTGACAACGACAGAAACACAACTAAACGTCAAGAACCTAAAGGTGTAGTTTATAAAATTGACTGTAACTGGACAATCCTATATAGGGAAAACATTCCGCCCTATAACCGTTTGCATTCATCTAGCACCCCCACATTTCCAAAAAGAATACACGAAAAAAAGATTCAATAATTGTAGCCTTTTCCTGTTCACAAATCCTAAAGTGGACACTCATATATTAATTCGACTATGAATTAATTAGTCATAGAATATTAAATAAACGAACACCACATCAAATTAGCGGTATTAACTTATACTTTGAAACTGAGAGTTATCTCCCTTCCGTTAGTGCCGATCGTTGCCAAGCTACCGATATCAGCAAAACGACGCCATTTTATGTTGCCGCATCTGCTGTCTCTTTGTTCTCAATCTATAACTTGCCTTGGATTTTGAGCATCGCTTGAGTTTTTTAAACATGCAGTCAAGTAGCTGTGTTCAAGGTACCAATGTGTCACAGTTTTATGTTGATTACGTTTCACCGTGTGGTTATGTAATCGGTTACCCTCAGGTTGATGCCAAGGTCTCATCACTAAGCTCTCTAACACGGACAATAGAAATCTCAACGTACTTCAACGTTTCTCAAGATATGCTAAACCCGTTTCCTCGCATTTTATATTTCTTCTATGCACTTCAATTTCTTCAATGGCCAATGCTTACATAAATAGTGATTTTGTCCTGCCCCAGGTGAACAGCCCACTAACAAATAGAACGAATTAATAAATACAACTGACATGAACGTGTATAGATATATATAGGCCTACCGGTATATGGTATATACTTACAAGCTTACGTTTTTAATAACTTTACAGTGTAAATAAGCGTGTGCATGTTTTATTTATTTTCACTTCTCCCCCACACAGAGAGGATGTTTCACCAGGCTTTCACCCCTGCTGCCACTCCTGTCCCACGTCGAGTAGGTGTGCTAGGGTTGTAGAAACAGAATATGACTAACTTTTACAACAGATCCTTGTCTAAATCTCAGTGTGTCAAAGTGTTGATGTTCCATAACCTACTGTATTACCACTTTCCTAACTAAAGATACACCACACCCTACCTATCACTAATATCAGTATCACGTTTGTCTCATC